CCCCAAAACCCCAAAACCCCAAAACCCCTATAACCAAATTACTGATTGTTATTAACTAATAATTTATAAAATTAAAAGATGGAGGAAAAAGAAAACAATGGTAAAGGCATGAAGTAAGGATTTAAAGAATTTTATAGAAAATTCAGCAGACATTTGATTCAGGAAGAGCAATCATTAAGCTTGAGTATTGAAGAAAAGGAGGAAGAGCCTTCTGATGCAGAAGTTGATAATTCAATGTATGCCAGTCCTTGGCAGGTAATCTTTGATTTACTTTCGCAGAATTAGATTTTCAAATTTAATATGGTAATTTTTTAGTGGATTCCTCTCTCAATCCTTACGGCAATACTTTTTGCATCCGGAAATGCAATGGTAAGCTCATTAGCAAAGTTCACATACTTGACAAGAGTAATTCAAGGACCAGGAAGTGTTTTATGATGTGGTGTTCTTCTCACAATGGTCTCAATATTTGATCATCGTAGAGGAAAGCCTAATTGGTTTAAAAGGCTGTATTTCGAGCATCCTCATCACAGTTTAAAGAACCAAGGGATTAGATATCCAAGAGTTGCTCTAACAGTGGGCTGTGTGATTGTTCTTGCCATTCAATTTTATGCATTTGTTATGAGTTATTACTATGCAAACAAAGCTGGAATAAACAATGGGATTATCATGGCAATATACACTACCAAGCCAATATTTAATGCTTTTGCATTCAGATTCTTATACCATCAAAAATTAAGATATTTTGAAATTATTGGGATTTTATTGTGCACAGTTTCTATCATTCTTATTGGTCTTTCACAAAAATCAGATAATGAAGGACACAAGAGATTCTATATGTTTCTCTCTATGGGGCTTATGGTAATATCTGCTTTCTTAGAAGCTCTAATTGCTATCGTAGCAAAGTATTTCCTTGCTTTTAAAGACAACAAAGTAAATGTGTCTTCTTTTTACGCTTTCTTTATTGGGATACTTGACAGTATTGGCTCTATCATCTTTATTGTTCTTTTGAGTACAGGATTAGATATAACTTGGAAGGAGATCGGCCTTGCCCAAGTATCGAGCATTCTATATTCATTAGGCCAGTTCATAATGGCCTTTGCCATCCTAAAAGGCAAAGCTGGAACGGCAAGTGCTCTGGTAGAAACTGTAGGAGTGTATCAAACTATTATTGAAGCAATAGCTTACTCAAGGTTTCCAAATATCTGGCAGATTTTTGGGATGGCATGAGCATTTTCAGCATCTATCATTATAGTTCTTGGATATCATTTCTCAAGAAGATAATCAAGTGGATAAAAAACACTTTTAGATATTCTCAATTCAAAATACTTAAAAAGGGGTTTTGGGGTTTTGGGGTTTTGGGG